TATATATATATATATATATAACTAGCATAAAAGAAATGAAGTGTAAGGCAGGTGCTTGCGTCAACCAAAGGCTCTGAAAACGAAGGCTGCCCCGGTGCTGCACATCGCTTCAGACCTATTTGACTGCCCCCAGACCTGCAACAAGACCAACCCCAGAACACTACGCCTTGATACGCAGCACCCCACGTGACTGGGCGAGGACTTCTCTGCCAATCCTTGGACGTCCTGTCGATCGAGGCCCCTGCTCAAGATACCAAACCACCACCTCTCTCGAAGGTTCTAGGGCAGACGTAAGGTTCAGGGCCCCGTCTCCGATTTCCGAGCATGAGAGCTTCACAGTGCTTCAAGGCTCCAAGGCATCCTCAAACATTTCTACCTTGTGCGGGCCTTAATAATTACCTATACTANNATACTATTTTGGGGGTTCCTTACTTCTTATAATTATAGTATATTGCGCCCCATTGAACCTGAAGCCATTGAGCCCGAACTAGCCGGATCCGATTCGCCCAGTCCCAATCTCGAGCTCTTCGTCCTCGGTAGCTTGACCTCGAAACCCCCCCCAAACGGCCGGACAGAGACATCGACGTCTTGTCAATCTGATTGTTTGCATAAGAGTGTATTACAAGCAATGCAGGCAGCACGCTTGCTACTTCTTTCCATATCTGTTTGTGACTCACTCCCCTGGAGCCCCTGAACCCATAAGCGCCTGTCACAAGCGCCTGCAAAAGAAGGCAGTCGAAGGCCCGTCGCAGGAGGATCTCATGCGAGGCTGGAGCCACACAGAGCTTTTGGAGTTCAATCACTAGGGTTTCGGCTCATTCCGCGGTGGTTTGGAGTTAAGAGCTTGTGGGTTCAGGGAACAAACATGGTTTAGGGCTATCGGGTGGAGTTTGATGGAGCTCCTGCCGGTGGTTGCGCTTTACTGACATGCGGCTCGGCACTGTGAGGTCAAGTTCAGAAGCCCCCGAGACGGAATCCTCACAGGCAACCTCCTTCCAGCAAGGAACCGGCACGCCTAGGTAGCTGACAAGCAATGATGACATCCTCACGTGAAGGCATTTGTGAGCCCAAAGCGCGAAAGCGAACGTGAGACATTCGGGTTCCTCGGGTAATGGAAGATCCTCGTTGAGTTTCAACGTCATTCCAAAATATATCAGGAACATAGCTTTCTTAGCTCTTATATACCCCTTAGTTGTCACGAAGTTCTCTGTCAAATAATATAGAAGACTAGTGACTTCATTCCGCTCGATGGTATGACAAAGCCCCACCCTGCTTGTCCTGAACTCTTCGCCCTACGCCTTACGCCACGCCATATCTCTCAGGGAAAATCTTGGAGAGATATCTTGATGTGATTTTAGTTATCTTGTTTGGTCTTTATGAGTAAACTCGGGTTCGCTCATGTAGACCCTCAAGATACGTTCAGATGACAATCCTATTCTGAAGGCCCCCGAAGCAGGGGGTTGCATTTCCTTAAGAATCAGACTCCTCTAAGTCTCACGTGGCCGCCTAACTCAAACAGTGAAAGATGCAGAAGTGGGGGTTCCCAAAAAATGGGGACCCTAATATAGCACCCTAAATAATAGGATCCTTAATATAAGGACCCCAAAAATAAGGCAGCCCCTAATTTTCGGAAACCCCCAAAAGTCGCTGCGGCCTGCGAAGGCCCGGAGACGTTTCGAACGGCGACTTCGAGTAGCGCTCCGGGCCTTCTGGTGAAGCGCCCGGGGGCGCAAGCAGCTTGCGGGTTTCCGAAAATAGGGGGGTACCTTATTCTGGGGTCCTTATATTAAGGATCCTATTATTTAGGGTGCTATATTAGGTACCTTATTTTGGGGGTCCTTATATTAAGGATCCTATTATTTAGGGTGCTATATTAGGGTCCCCTGCCGCAGTTTGCTTCTGTTTGCTGGGCCTTTTGTCCTGGTCTTACTCAGAGGCGTGTACCGAGGTGTGCTGCTTAAAGGGCTTTCCAATTCAGTCAATAACTCGCCAATAACCGTGAATGTACTGTAGTTACCTTGACGAAAAAAGAGATCCGTCAGTGGTCTGTGCTATGTTACGGCACCCTAGTTAATGCGCCCTCCCGCCCCAGGTTCTCCACTGCGGGTGTGAACTCGGACGCGGCTCGGCCTCGTGTGAGGGCCGGGGGGGGCAGAAGTTGGGGTTTGCAGGTCTCGAGCCGGGGCTGGGGGATGATTTTTGCATTCCAGGGCAAGAAGTCAAGAAGTGCCGGTTTTCAGTGTTCATGTTCTTGTCGACACACTTCCGTGTTCAGTTATGTTCAGTTCCTCTTCCTGCGCTTGCTTGCATCTTGAAGTCCATCCTCAGCGCGGCAATGTTTCGGAGTCGCACCCAGCTCTGGTCAGTCGCGGCAGCGGACAAAGCCAAAGCACAACATCGCGCAGAGTCATGCTGCTGCACAACCACAGCAAGGAGCCCACTCACGCACCAGAGGGTTTGGTGATCTGTTTCGGTTGAATCAGCGGCGAAGCAGCGCCCGAGGATCCTAGTCCGATTCATGGCATGTGGCCCCAACTGCAGCGCATGCCCGTGGATTTCAAAATCCCACGCCAAGGATTCAGAAAGGGCGAGTCCACAGACGGCACGTTCTCTGGCTGCCCCAGATGTGGAGCAAGGGTATGCAGCCCATTCTTAACCTCAAGACCCCAAGCGTGTGCAGACCCGAGCTGAATACGAACAAAAAAGCGAGGAGAGGTTGCAGCAGATGATGAGCAGATGGCTGTGGCTTCCTTCAGACTCAGATTGTGCCGTGAAGAAGAGGCTGCAGCCGTAAACTCGAATCTGAAGCCCTGTACACCCCACAATAGATTCAGCTAGGATATAGAATTGTTCCGGTTTTTGGGACCCGTATTACCAAAAAACACAAACTGACTCCAGGCACCGATCTGATAGCCTCCTCGGCGCTGCGCGGGGGTCTAGCGCTGGGCTCCTTAGGCGCCCCGCTCAATTCTCGGATTTCTGACGCTACTATCACTATAACGATAAAGCCAATGCATTGTGATATGCAGTTTTTTATATGCGATTGTAATGAGGCCTCGTTTTTTCTGATTTCTTCGGAGCCGAGCCTCTAAACATTCCTTTTCGCTGGCCACGGCCTTCGCCAGTGAGACTTGCTCATCTGGTAGCATGACTACTGACCAGCTTCTTGGTCCGGCACGCCCTCCGTCTGCTGACGGTTCTGAAGTCCGACTGTCGGCTTGCACCTACAGTTTATCTCCCATATCCTCGTGGCGGTCTCACTTGCTACACCTCTTGGCCATGTGTCTTCGCTTTCCTGCGTCGCATTATTCCTGTGTGTTTAGTACTTACATGGTCATTCTGTTCAAAGCATGTTGTGTCAACACTGTGGCAAAGAAAGAAGTAGACTCCTATGAACCCGAAAGGTGGTGCGAGCGGCTCCGCCGTGGGCGGCTTTGTCGGGGCTGCTCTGGGGCTGCCTCCTGCGGCACCCGGGAGCAATTGCAGTTTGTGGCTTGGGGTCTAGGATTTCGATGAATTTCGGGCGCGGGCTGTCGAGTCTGAGTCTAGGCCTTGAGAAGTTTGGGATTGGGTGCAAGAGCTGTCATTTTGCTCGCCTGATGGCCGAGTACAGGCAGTATTCATTCATCCCCGTAAACCTAGCTTACATCCAAGGGAAAACCTTAGCCCTCATACCTTCTACCTTGTTTGGAACATTGGTCTGTTATTAGGGGCTCCTCCTATCGATGTTTTCAAGCCTTAGGCAATCGGGCGCAAGGCAATCTGCTAAGTAGCCAAGTCTCTTGAGACGTCGAGTGGCGATCGCAACCTTAGGTGCTGACCTTTGGGCTCTCCGTGCCAGTGTGCGCTACGCTGGGGAGCAGTGTTGGGTTGTGCCCAGACTCGTTTTATGGCATCTCTCGAGTTGCCGTTACCCTGGGCTGGCTTGATTGTGTGTGTGTGTGTTGGGAAATCATTCGAAACAATCCCGGACTGTCGAGGTGTTTTGACAAGCCTGTTGTCGGCTGCACAGGAGTCGCTGCAGTTGTCCAGGCTCTGAGAGCTCGGTTGACAACCCAAAGCTCACCAAATGCAGCAAGTGTTACCGTTCATGTGCTGCCTTATTGCTTACCATCGGGGCGGCTGCCGAGGTGCGTCGGCACGCTGGCCGGCAGCAGCGTGGGCATGATCGGAGGCTTCTCTAATAATGGCAACACAGGGCCCCAAACAGCTGCAATGCGGCTTCAGGTGTATCACAAATTCTGGGGATGTGCGAAATGTATAGAGCTATCTCTTGATCAATCAATTGGTCAGACTTCCATGTTAGGGGAGATTCCAGAAGATTCAGGACACCAACACAACTTGGGAGCCCTATATTACGAACCGGTCATAAACTCTGGTTCTTCGATTGGTGAGTTTGGGTTTTTTAGAGCCAGCTGCTCCTATTGCGTTTGTGTTCTGGTTGATTTGGTTTCGTGTCTGCAGGAGGGAGTAACGTCTGGCATTTTAGGGCGGCGAACATCTCGCAAGTTCGTTCCACTTGACAACCTGGTCTTTGGGGCCAGCTGGCACTTGCCTCCAATTCCCTTCGTGAGGCTGCCTCTACGGTCACTCCAAGGCCCTCCCCGACAGCGCCAGTGAAGGCCTCGTGCAGCGGGGGAGCAGCGGGGGACAGTAGCAGTGGATCGAAGAGGGATTGAGGTGAAATCTTCTGGTCCGCGGGTTTTCACGAGGGGACTCTTACTTTCCCACGATGCACCTTTCATCTGAGGTAAGGCAGCATTGGTCTTCATGGTTTGTGATCGAGTCTAGTCCTCGCTCCTACTTGTGGAAATTGCCGTTGTGCGAAAGTGTGGCTCACGCATTCAAAGCTTGGAAAGGTTGCGTGCACGCACACACACACACACACACGCAGTGCGTGTATGTGTGCCAAAGTAGCACAACGAAGCAGCAGCTTCCATACGAGAGCCTTGAACCGGCCTGGCTCGTCCGAATCCACGTGAGACCCGGGCCCATTGTGCCAAACCTACCGAGGGCAAAATGTGGCCGCAGGCTCTTGTAAACGTGCATGCTTTCTGCTGCTTGGGCACGCGTTCTGCGCAGAGGGAGCTCCCGGGCGAGGAGACAAGCCCGCAGCAAAGAAAAGGAACTGAAACTCGCTGAGTGACAAACCAAACCGTAGCGGAGTCCATAATCCTGAAGCACCTGACGGCAAGGTCAAAGTGGGCTGCAAGCCGTCCGGACGACACTTTCGGAACGCTGAGCGGAGCCAAGCAACGGTCCTGTAGGCTGCCGTGAGGCGGGTTGGCCAAAGTGCACGCTGTCCCGCATCGGTAGCTGCAGGTGTCGGCTTCGAGGGAGCGTGAAACGATGGAGGGTTTAGGGTTCGGGGTTCGCATCAAAAACAAGAGAATTCAGCCTCGCGCACGCATCCATCCGACCTTCCAGGAAGCACCTCCAGCAGTGAAGAAGAAAGAAGAAGAGGTTTAGGTTTGTAAACTTGAGCCGGTGGGAAAAGGGGGGTTTTGAGGTGTAAGGCTCAAGGGTTTAGATGCTTAGGCTTGTAGGTTTAGGACTTATTTGGGACTTGAAACTGAAAATGTCCAACGGAGCAGCCGTGCTGATGGACTTTAGAACTTGTCAGAGTTGAACTTCTTGGGTGTCTCGGGCGAGGCTTGTCAGGGGTCTATCGTGCCTCTCTAATGTAGTGGCCCGAATAATATCAAATAATTACCTACAATACTTTCTTGGGGGTTCCTTATTCTAACTATAGTATAGCTATAGTATAATGGGCCCCAAAACCCTATTCTAATTGTTAAGGCCCCTACATTAGTCTTATTCTCCCCAGCACTCGCACTTGACAGCTCTTACTGCCTCTTACTTTCCTCCTTCGTCCTGCTCCCGGGAGCTCGCCTGCGAGCGGTTTGAAGAGGATGTCATGGCAAGGGTGCGCAGAGGTTTTGCGGAGACTCCAATATCCCTTAATTCAGGAATAGACCTTAAGTCATATTAAGGATCCTACTATAGTTAAGGAATATACCTTAAACCATATCAAGGATCCTACTATAATTTAAAGAATATTCCTTAATTAAGGGATATTGGAGTCTCTATGTCCTTTAAATTCTAGGCCACTCGGCTACTCGGATCTCATTCTCGTGGCGGCCTGAAGCTTTCCGACGCTGTCCCTGCTAATTACAGTGGTCAGCGTCGAAACTGTGGCCCCGAGCATCATCCAGGAACCCTAAACCCTAAACCCTAAACCCTAAACCCTAAACCTATCTTTGTCGCGAAGAACTCCGGTTTTTTGGGATCCGAAGTATGCCTTCGCCTTGCTTCGGAGTTCCGAAGCTCAAGTATCCGCCCTCTGCTGCTGCCGAGGCCAATCAGTGGGTCTACAAGAGACCTGTAGAAAACTTACGCCAGGGCTTTGGGCCTAATGTCTTAGAGCCTTGGGGTTGGCTATCATACGCCACCCATCCGAAAACTCGTGTTTGTCAAGTACCTTCGTTTGGCAGCGTGGCACCCTCGCGCTGCTGGCTTCGAAGTGCGTTTGTTTCAAGATCGGAAGCATCTCGAAACCTCTCGCCTGGACCTTCCTCAGATGCCTACAGAGTGAAGCGTGACCTATCCGAGACCTAAGAGGATTCAGTAGCCGCTCTAGTACATTGTTGCTGTCACGGCTGCCGCTGCGACTGCAGCCGCAACCAAAGCAACGAAGGAGTGTAGGGCGTGAGGGGCGTCGACCTAACCTCCGATGTAGGACTCCCTGTTTTTTTCGAACATTTTCGAGCCAGCTAAGCAGCTGCACGGTGCCAAACAAGCATGGGCTATCTATGCTCGTATTATCTGCAACGAAGTGCCGGATGTCTTCTGCTCAACTGGCTGTGCGCAGTCCAGTCTCCAGCAGTCTTGAGGTCAATGAAGGCTGGTTCATGGTGCTAGGAATTCATGAAGTTTGTTGTCATGTTGTGATCTCGACGTGTACCCTAAACCTTGTAATTACGCGAGACCCTCAACTTATCCATTTCTTTTCTATATACCGTCTGTGCCCTAAAAAACCCTGAGCCCTCTCTTCCAATGAGCAGCTCACCCCGAGCCTCGTTGGGGACTCCGGCGGTTGGCCAACGACCACGCGTGCAGCGCCAGAGCGTGCGCGAGCGCGGGCAAAAAGCAGCGGCGACTTTTCGTCCTTTCTGGACTTCAGTCGCCCCTAAAATATTTCGAAGCCGCTGCGCCGACGGCTGTGAAGCCCGAAAGGTCGGCTTATGGTCTACGCATGGGAGAAGGGTGCCAGTAGTCAGTAGCCACCGTCAAAAACTGAACCCCAGAAATGCCTGTCTCGGGCAGGAGTAGTAGAGTAAGTGTAGATAAGTGCAAGGATTCCACCTGCCGAGGCCTAGCAAGGTGGTGCCCTTTCGCTTCCTCTCGGCCCGGCCAATCCTCCTCAGCCAAGCGATGGGGGCACCGGGCTCAGCAGGGTCGAGCAATCCGAAACTCCATGCGCGGTGATAGCCCTTGCTTTGGAGGCCGGCATGGGGAAGGATCAATTCGGGGCAGTGGGGGGTTGGTGACGAGGACTTCGCCGCACAAGCTTGAGTTCGCGTGAGCATGGGGAATGCAGAAGCAACATAGACGCCACGCAAAGGGTCGCGGTCGGCTAATGTTCCAAGCTTCACGGCTCTCCAAGGCTTGGTTATTGACGATTGACATAGATCCAACGAAAATCCAACCTTAAAGACACCATGCACAACTCCTCCGACCTACCAAAGTTCCTGGTCGTGCTAAGGTCCTACAAAAATTCAGGATTTTGGGGCTCATGCCAGGTATCATGAAATGTCTGAGCCGGTACGTTCCTTTGATCCCCCGTATGCTTGTCCCATCTATGTCGAGACCACCTGAATAACGCCCTCGCCCCTTCAGTCTGGAACTAGCCAAAGCTTCTGCCTGATTGAAATCTTTTCTGTATTACATGTTTTCTTCTACGTGTATATTCAGATACATACATACGTGCAGGTAAGCGCGTGCACACAGACATATATGTGCTTGTATGCATCTAGTCAGGTCAAACCAAGTGACACACACACAGACTTGATTACACAACATGAACGCAACTAGTACGTGCACGGGGGCGACCGGGGCGACCAGGTTGGCAGCTTGACAACGGTGCATGGAATTTTCATTATAAGGCCTGTTATAGCATTTTGAAGCCAAACAAAACCTGTCAAGCTCCAGAAAACTAAGTAAGAGCCTACAGAAACCCAAACAACTCCTCTAGATGAACATAGCGACCCTCCGGAAAAAGCCGCTGGAAATCTGAGGCAGAGACCGGCTTGGAGGCCCCTGGCTGTTGCTTTGCTGTAAAGCGATTCGTGCCAGGAAGTGCTAAACCCTAAACCCTAAACCCTAAACCCTAAACCCTAAACCCTTTTGCATTGGAGCTCCAGGGCCTTTAGTGGTTTTACACATTGTTTTCGGCGTTCCGGGATTGTAGGAGTTTACGGTTTTTCGGGCTTTAGGGTGTTTAGGTGAGGATTTTGGGCTTAGGAGAGGAGTTAGGGTTTGGGACTCAGACTTTAGGGTTCAGAGCTTCGCCGACTGGTAACAGGTGACCAGTGACTAGTGGTGAGGTTGTGCAGTTAGAGGGAGAGGGCACCGGAAATATTCACATCAATCAATGGCGGAATCTTGCCACATCTCTGGCCCCCACGTGCATTCTCCAGGTGGGCGCGAGGGTGGAAGCGTTGAAGCCTGGTCGTTACTCGGCTGCCTAGGTCCTGAGATGTGCTTTTCTGATGTTGATTACAACACTAGTGACTAGTGGAACAGGAGCCGCTGCCATCTTAGTCCGCGGGTGCAATGGGATGGTACTAGCCAAGGGAATGGCCCTGCTCCGCCTCGCAGGAAGATGCTAAAACCAGCATGGAAAGCTCGAAGTCCTTCGTCCTTCGTAAACCCTAATCGCAGTAGCCCTAGAGTAGTATGAAATATGGAATCTAGAACCTATGTCTAAGACAAAGTGTACGGATACTCCACAACAGAGCATTACAAACAATTGAAAGTGAAGTTGCGCCGAAGATTGGCACCGTTTCTAACGCATTTGTGTGCAATCGCTCCATGGAAGGATATTGTCTCGTCCGAAGTTCTTCATAGCAGCACATTCAATGCAAAATGTCTGAGTAGACTTGCACTCCTGACCCGAAATTTGCTTCTCTTCCGAAGCACCGTACATGCATAGAGATTGACGTATATATATATATATATATGCGCATCTATCTAGCTAGCTAGCTATCTATCCAGCTACCTATTTACCTATCTATCTATCTATCTACCTATCTATCTACTTGTGTATCTTTCTATCTGTCTATCTATCTATCTATCTATCTATCTATTCATGTGTCTATCCATCTATCTATCTGTCTATCCATCTATCTATCTGTCTAT